AAATTTGCAGGAAGATCAAAGAGTCGCCTGTTTTAGGGTTTTGCCCCATTCTGGGATGAGTAGTGCTAAACGAGAGTGTATTGGCTCACACTGCGTGGTGACTGGGACAGAGCACCGAGAGTAAGACCAAAGAGGAGGTTGATCAAGGGAGGAAGGGCAGCCCACTGTCAGCATAGCTAGAGGTCTCCACTTGGGTGTGTTGCACTGTATGCTCTATTCTTTCCCTTGTGCAGTTCTATTGGGATCTGTGGTGTGTCCTCACACGCTGACTATGGCTTTGAAAATGGACCAGACCTTAACTGTTGGTCAGCTCTATAAATGAGAACAGGATTTGTTCTTTTCTCTGAAAAGGACTTTAATTTGGCTCTTCCATGAGGTGCAGTATCGGGCTGTATTACATTTTACATAATAAAATTAAGTCTGTTTCTTCTCTTACTTATGTGTATAGTATGCTGCTTGAAATAGTAGGTATTTTTAATGTTTCAATAGCTTTTTATTAAAGGAAAATGGAAATGGAAACCACATTTCTTAAATGAATTTTATCTCCATAGCAGTTCCAGCGATTCAGATCTGTGTCAGTGCCAGTTTATTGCAGTCTATTTTCTCCTCAGTGAGCATCTGCTTAACAGTTCAGTGCAGATACAGACAGATAGGAATATTCTAGCACGCACCTAACTCCACCCTGGGGCATGGTAGAAGTTACTTAGGGTACTAATTCGTCTTTTTAAAGCAAAATTATTCTGGTCAAGCAAGATGTTTTGTCCACTGAACGGGTTCAAATTTTCTTGGAATAACAGAAAATGAGGATTCTGTGCTCTCCCTCCCACTGTTTCCTTAACTTATTTTTCCCTAGAAGCATTATTTAAGCAAGCTGTTGCATAAAATTTATATTAATCTTTGCATGCTTTACCCTGATCTACATATCATTCATTGGTCTTGTCTTGTAATGTAACCTAACTGCTATGACCTATTATAACAAGTTGCAGAGCAGAAAGCCATGAAGGTCCCCCAACTCATGTTTTTGCCCTTCCTCTTTCTCTCTATTGACTACAGGATTAAGTATTTTTTAAGGTTTATGCACTCTCAGGTCAGAAAATGGATCTTATTATCAGGTGGAAAATAAGTACAAGATTGAAAGCAAAGTGCTCTTATCTGTGTTTATGGAATTGTTTAAGAAATAGCATTTTGGTTGAGCAGAGCATAGAAACAGATATAATTATCCATGCTATCTAGACTGGAAAGAGTGCTGCGAGGGAGGAGGAGGAGGAGGAGGCAGAGGAGGAGGAGGAGGCGGAGGAGGAGGATGGCTTCCTGCTCCAGTAAAGGCAGGGCAGTTTCTCACAATGGAAGAACTGTCCTTGCTGCTTAGCAGTGCCCAGTCAGACACAGACTCGTGGAGCAAAATGAGGGTGAGGTTCTTTAAACAGTAAAGCATGAAACAAGTGTCTTCTGTTCTTACCTTTACGCTCCTTAAAGAAATATACTTCTTTTTGAAATGTTTCTCTATCAACAGGCTTTGTTGGAGCAGTGATCCTGGAAAGGAAGGATCTGATTTTAAGGGTCCTGCTGCAGGGTTGGGACATTGCTGAAGGGCCCTCCTCAGTCACTGGGCTCAGTCCCACCACTCTGTGGGGTCCTACTTCACACAGGCACACAGGCTGGTAGTGATGCTGTTTTTGGCATGCCCGTGCATGACTACACCACCTATAGGGGTGCTTGCAGAGCTGGAGCCTGTGTATTTAGTGGGGGTACAGGGATGTGTCCAGAGCAAATGGACCCTTTTGCTATCAAACAAACAAGGATTGTTTTGCCAAATAAATAGTTCATACTTCCAACTGGAAAAATGCACAACAAATTATATGTGCTTCAGATAGAAGATTTCAAAGTAATTTTCTGGATTCCTACTGCTATGTCACAATCTCATCTAAGTGAGAGGAGCTGACTGTTGTCTCTCATGAATGGCCATTGCAGGGACACAGCATTATACCTGCCAGCAGAAGGTCTGGCTATGGGAGCTGCATGATGGGGCAGGGGAAAATCACATGGGTGGCCTTGGGGCAGTACTTGGCAGCACTAAGAGCAGCCAGATCAAGGTTTTCTGCTGTGCCTTGGTTTTGCTTTTTTACCCCTAAGCCTCATCTTACTTTGTAATTTTTTGCTCTTTATACTTGTCACAGCAGGGGGAAGCAACAGGGACTTCATTCAGCTGTGTCTCTTCCTGTCAGACAAGTGAGATACCTATGCCACTGCAGCCCTGACCTTGTGGGGGTCCTTTGAAGTCACGATTCTTTGGCTTCTGATGGAGTATAGCCTTAGCATTTCCCACACTGCTGGCTGCAGCTCTAGGCACACAGGAGACCTGGATAGGCTGCCATAGGTGTGGTACAACTGTCTGCAAGAGCAATTAGGCTGGAAATCCCTCTGGACAGGAGAAGCACTGGTGAAGATAGAGTGGGGTCCCCACAGATGAGGAGGGACCCTTAGGGCATGTGTTTTGAGCATCATGATCCCTCTGGGAATTGGTGGCTGGTTCTCCTCTCTGTGCTACATAAAGCTTTGAGGAGAAAAAATAATTTCATCTGCAGAGGCTTTAGATAGCACTCACCCCACACTGACTTGTAGTGGGAGACTGATGTAGGGAGAGGCTCCCATGGGAGGTGTGTGGAAACTCAGCCTCCAAGCATCTCCGGCTGCAACTCCCACAACAAGAAGAGTATTTTAGCTCCTCGTGTCCCTGTGACCTTGGTTTGGCACAGAGTGAATATGAAGCAAGGAGCAGCTTAGTGTTCAGAAGTGTAGCTAGCTAACTACAGCTGTCTTAGATCACCCTTCTGCGAGATCTACAGATTGCAAGGCAGGAATGGGGGTGGGGGGAGAGGATTTAGTCAGCCGATGAGCCTGGCTTCTATGTCTCTTTTAAGAAAGCGGATTTATTGGTATTAAACATGTCTCTCTTAATGTGGGTGATTTAAAATGGAAATTGCCTTTGAAAGGGGATTTCCTATTAACTAGCTGAGAAAGAAAAATAGGATAATACCATCATCCCTATACAGGGTCCATAGATGAGATGCTGGAACAGAGTTATTTGGTTAACTGCTGCTTCTTCAGAAATTTTAGGGTCTCTGTAAGAACAAGACTTGCTCAAATTCCTCCATGAGGAATGGTTGTATAGATGCTTCCATAAAGTTATTTCTATGGAAAAAGCAGCAATTTTACTGAGTCCTGTGGGCTTCAGGTAAGAACACAATAAATACTGATTCTAAGGGCATGTTCGGAAGTGTGTCCAGCTCTTGCAAGTATTATATTTGGGGCCAGATGGAGACAGAGACAGTAGAAGACTTACTGAGTATTCACTTTTGTTACCATGCAGTTAATGCAAATCAAAGCTTGGATTAGTTAATGATTTTAGTAAGAAAAATAAAGCCTTGTCTATACCCAAATTTGCACTCATTTAGTTCATGTTGGCCCAGTTATCAATTTAATTAAGTCTATGCAGCCTCTTTATGTGGGAGGATTGATTTAGTTAATCTGAACCCTTTCAGTTAACTTTGGTTAAAATACTTCTTTACAAGGGCATGGCTGTAGAGCCAATGGAGATGGAGTGGATATAGGTAACCTAGGTCTGGACGGACCAAATCTAGAATTCCTATCAGCAAACTAGTGCACATGGGCTGATTAATGGCATCATTATATGCCACGATTAGGATTTTCTAATGTCAGTGTACTGTATCATGGAGCAGTGTAGACATGCCCTGTCAAACCTAACAATCAATTTGGAAACCAACATCCTTCTCCAAGTCTCTCAGGACAAAAGGCAACATGCATTGGAAAGAAGTGGCCACTAAGTCTTCTGTCTCTTGATGGTGAACTTGGAGCAAACCATGGAGGTGATCCCAGCCCCTAATGGTGATACACCTGGTAAAAACTGTAACCTTTACCTACTGGGGCTGCCCTCATACGGCCACACATCCCAGGCTGATGGTGTCAGTTCTGCTGAGTGAAGACAGCAGTTGGCTCATCCTGAAATCTCCACCCCCTCTAAACTCAGCTGATTGCAGGCAACAAGGCCTTCAGTTTCTCCTGTGTGCCCTGAGTGCCTTCCAAGAGTTTACTGCCTCTCGTTTGCTCACAGTATCTGCTTAAAAACTCCAGGAGAGTGAAGCACAGAAATTATTTTCTGCCTCCATCTCCCTTGTACAGGAAGTTATGTGATTGTGAGACGTGGGATTTGGTGTTTGGGAGCCACTAGTGCTTGTCCCAGGAGGTGCTGTGACTGGCACCTGAAGAAAAGCAGAAGAGACAGAAAAAAGAGCAGCAAATAGTCACTTGTGGATCTTGCTGCTGTGTGTTTGTCTCCTGCCGTTGTGGTTTACAGCCCCTGAGGAGTTTGTTCCAAAAACCGCCACTAGGGTCTGCCTGCCCTGTGGCTCTGGTGGCTGGTGGAACCACCATCCTCCCCAAGATGATCATGTCATTGCATATGCTGAAGGTTTGCAAGGACAAGGTGCATTTTCAAAGGCAGATAAAAACATTTTGCTTCGTTTGAAAGATTGGGGTGAGGCTGGAGGAAATACTTTGTGTTGCAACAGTCCTGTGGAGCAGAAGGAGGACTTAAGGCAGGTAGTGGGCACTTGAATCATTTGTCTTGGTCTGATGAGAGGCAGCTGACCTTTATGTTGCACAGATTTGTAATTCAAGTTGGAAATGGCAGGAGTGCCTGGGGTGGTGCTCTTGGTTTATGAGGGAAGAGAAGAAGATGGATCTGAGTGGAACTGAGCTGTGGCTGGATGGGAGGAGATGCTAAGAGACAAAATGGTGTCAGGCCCATAAGCTTTGGAATGGGTTTGCAATGGGTTGCTGTGATCTGTCATGGTTGGTTGCTTGGAGGATTCATGTTGCTTGGCAACCCTGTTGTCACCACTCAGATGCAATATCCAAGGAGGGGACACTGGTGAATACTCACTGGAAGGAGAAGGGGGAATTGGGGGACAAGGGTGGGTACAATAACCACGGTGGAGATAGGAAGCTGATGACCATCTTGATGCTGTACAGGGATGTGGGCAGAGCAGGTGATGAGGAGGATGGGCACCTTGTCTTGGTACCGATCAGGGTTTTGAAGAGATGCATGGAATATGAGCGTGTGGGGATTCTGGAGCAGGCCTCCTCATGCCCTTGTGAAGGTGTGCTGGTAAACAAGGGGGCTGTCTGTCCAGCCAGCATGGTCTTTCTCAGAATCCTGGGCTCAAAGACCCTGTGGAGCATACTTCCGTGCTTCTGCAGGAATTGACTGAGGACAGGAAGGCAGAGGGACAAACTGCCCAGAGAAGCTGCACAGTCTTCATCCCTAGATATTTTCAAGACTCATCTGGTTAAAGACATAAGCAACCTGTGCTGGTCTTGCAACTGACCCTGTTTTGAGCAGGAGATTGGACTAGAGCTTCCCAAGGCCCCTTCCAGCCTGAATTATCCTGTGATCCTTTGACTGTCCTGTGGTGAGGACCAGCTGCTGTTCCTTTGTGCTGTAAGACACCCACAGATTTCAGGCCAATACAGCACCTCTGCAGTTCCCAACCTTTGCAGCCATCAAGAAAAACTTGAAAACAAAAATGTCACAGATGGAATGGCAGTCAGATATGTAGTTAGAACTGGTTGTTCCTATTCACCCCTCGAAGGAGATTATACTTCTTTTATTGCAGCACCCAGAGTCACCAAGCAGAACTCTGTCAGACTTAGGAAGAAAGAGCAGATTTTTGAAGAGACAGTCCTTTCTGATGAAAACTCTGAAAGTGGTCTTTTGAGCAGTAACTCCAGGGGACATTTATCATCTGTACATATGCAAGATTCTTGCTATCGTACAGCTTGGGACCTATCATTACAACCTGAGATTGTGTGATCAGTTATTTCAGTTCTATGCAGTAGAGCTACTGGTAGAGAAGAATAATGCAGATCCTGGTGACAGTTTGGGAGGATGGGGCTGTCATCAGCCTAGTATTGTTCTTCTTTGTCCCAGGAAGTTAGCCATTATCAGTGATCTCATCATGCTGTTTCCATTAAGCAAAGAAACCATACGAGTGGGTTTATTTTTTTGTGAGCTGGTTTATTTACAGCTAGTGTGCCTAAGGTCTTGTTTCCTGGATTACTGTAGAAGCAGATGATCATAACCAGTTTCCTTGGTCACTGCCTTACCAGTCAGGAGATACCTAACTCTGCACCACGTCAGCACCGTGTTCAGGTGCACCAGAGCCTCTCAGGTAAGCTGTCCTTTCAGACGACTGGGTTTTGAAACAGTGGTATCCCACGTGGTGGAGATCTACTCAATACTATCCTGACTCCAGCATCAGGTGACCAGAATCATCTGCTTGGGTCTAGTGCCCTCTACCAAGTATGGCCATTTCAGATGGGGATTCCTGCAGCCACTTGCACAGTCCTCCTCACTTCTTCCGGGATGATTTACATGTTTGGAATAATGACAGTTGAAGTCAGACTTCTCTGCAGCTGTTTGGTCCCCTAGTCTTTTTTTAGCAGGCTCAGAAAGGAAAAATTCTCAGTTTGCATTTTTGGGGGATAAAATCTGAGGGAGACAGTGGGAATAGCCTGAGGAACATAGAATAGGTTGAACTCAACTGTTAACTTTACGTTACCTGGATGCCTGCACCCAGCCCAAATCATCTTATCCTATTGTGTGCTTTTTGTCAGGGATCCCGTGATGTGGGCTAGTGGCTTTTCTTCTGGTGGGGGCTTGGTCTGGGACTAAGACCTTTTCCAGAATCCTCTCTGTTCTCAACTCTGGGACCCAGTATATCTGGGCAGAGACAAAAAACCAATTCTGCCTGCCTTGAGGCACTATTTATAGATATTTTTTTTTCCCCAGCTGCAAGTGACTGACCCTGATTCCTGTCTCTGTGCTGTAGACCATCAGTTCTGGGAGATGCAGACCAACACTCCACAGGTTCATGATGTTCTCTGCATCTGGTGATGCCAGCAGCCGCAGGTACGAGTGCATGCATACGTGTGAAGGTCTTCTGGGTTGCTGCGCCATGAATTTTCACACATCCGAGACTGTCAGCATGGAACCTTTAAGGCCAAGGATGCAGAGGGATGGCTGTCAGCTTCTGTTGATGGGTAGCAGCCTCAGCTCATCACTGAGGCTCTCACAGGAGAGGTATGCGCTGTCAGGGTGCTCATTTTTTATCCCATCTTGATATGCCCCATGTCACCACACATCTTGTAATGTCCCAAAGGGAGTACTAACAGTACTAGTCAAATACATTCTCCAGTTGCTGGGCCCACGGCTCTACAAATTGTCAGCCTGAGGTGATAGCTCACCAAATGCAGAAAAAGGAGTCCTGTGTCATTATAACACAGGGACTAATGGATGGTTGAATAGGATGTTTGACCTTCTTCATTAAGAGAAGGCATTAATGCAGGCAGAGTTGGGCATATGTTGGATGCCTACACAGCCAGAAGTTCTGCTTGTTGTCATGGCCAGGTCAGGCTTTTTTCTGCCTGTGGAGGGTAACTTTTCTAGCACATAGCCACCAACCTGCATTCTAAATGATGCAGCCTTTCCTAATTCTTGCATTTCTTTCTGGCTATTTCTGGCCTTCATGGATGTTGCACTAGGCCTTCAGGTCCTGTTGACTTGTCATAATATGCATGTTCAGTCAGTCACCTGTAACAGCATCCTAGGGCTTCCTGACGTTTGTGTAGCCTGCTCTGGACACCTAAGAGAGTGAGGGCAACAAGGAGCCATTTCATCAGCACTGGATTTGCTGAAGTAAAATTTACCTGTGCTCTGCCCAACTCCACCACCAGTATTGGGTGACTCCTGGTAGGTAAAGGTCTCTTTGGGTAATATAAATGTCCATGGCAGAAAGGAAGTGAATGTAATTCACAGTTATAATTGGCCAGTCATAAAATCACAGAACAAGCAGAGTTGGAAGGGACCATCAAGTCCAACTGCTGGTCCTGCACAGGACTCAGCAAGAGTCACACCATCTGCTTGAGAGTTTTGTCCATACCCTTCTTGAACTCTGTCAGCTTTGGTGCTGTGACCACTCCCATGGGGAACCTGTTCTAGTGCCCAAACACCCTCTGAGTGAAAAATCTTTTCCTAATATGACACCTAAACGACCCCTGACATAAAGTCATAGTTTTGCCAAATATTGATCTCTTCATTAACCTCTCCCAGCATCTCTCTTCTCTCTGCATCCCCTGAGCTGCCACAAGGAACAATATAACTGAGACACAGACCTTCTCTAATGCTTTTGAAGACAAAAATATCTGGGAAAAGTGGCATTAGTGATACCCCTCTTCCCTGTGCTTTTACTTCATTAGGTTGTAGACTGTTCCTTTGTTGTCTGTGCCACTGACACAGTGTTCTCTGCAGAGGCTGTGCTACAACAACAAAGCTGTTAGGCAAAGGATGGGGGCCTAAGAAAGTTGAGTCATGGAAGAGACACCAGTCAGTTTATGACAAAAAATGTACCATTCTGTCAGGCAGCATGAAAACACATGGCTGTCCTTGGCTTAGGATAAGAACATGACCAACAAGGGCACAATAGCCTGCAGGCCCCCTCGTTGTCAGTGTGAGAAAGCCTGGTAGCACATCAAGCCCAGGGCTCTGATTCCTGACGGACATAGGGGCTGGAGCAGAGATGTCCAGCTGCTCTTTTGCCAGGGGAACAAGCCATAACTCCACAGGAGTTTTATGTACTTGCACTTAAAGGGCACAACAAATGACAAATGGCCTTGTAAACCCACAGAAGACAGTCACAGATTTCCCTCTACTCAGGCAAACCTAACTACAAGGGCCAGAGGAAGCCAAGATTTTCACGGCGAGCTGCTTTAAGCTGTCCTTCCAATAAATGTTGCCTTGCTGTAATGCCCAGCCTCTGTCCTTGGACTGGGAAAGTTGCCAGAGTGTGGCCAAAGCTCTAGGTGGACATATTTTCAAGATGATGAGGGAAGAGGGACAGAACATCGCGTGCTTTTCTGAATTTGGTGCTTAATATGGAGTGAGAAAAAGGCCTACCCCCTGCACAGGAAGGGTTTATATTTTGCATTTTCCCACTGCCAGGGCATAGAAACACAATCAACATTTGAATCCTGGAAGTAAGATGGCAGGGAGAGGACATACTTACAGACTTGCTGGAGGATGGAGGCTGGTCAGCTGAAGATAGCCCTGGCTCTGAGTTCATAATCACCATGAAGGTGAAAGAGAACTTGTATTTGAGTAAGGCCTGGTCTTGGGGTCAGGTTTACAGCTGACATATGGGAAAAACAAACAAACAAAAAAAGTCAGTGCATGAGACATTTTGTGGGTAGTGCATGCCATTAAAATGCTGAGGTTTGAGTGTGGGTCAGACCTAACATGAGAGCAAAAATGGTCTGCTGGGCTTCAAAGCTGCTGAGACTAATGCCTCTATTTCAATTTGATGGTAGATTAAAAGATGCAGCTGAAGTGTACTAGAGGTGTTTTGCTTATTGCCTCTTCCTAGATATCTAAGTAAAGGAGAAAAGAAGGTGGCAGTTTTCTTTAGAATATAGAGTAATCTGACAGAAATCTTAATGTTTCTTCCAGCCAGAGGGCTGAGTTATTGAGTCAGCTGGCTCACTTGGAAACAGCTCAAGCAAAAGAAATCTATCTCCATTTGCATAAAGTAATTTGCCAAGGGTAGGTCTCATTTTTTTCAGGAAGGTGTGGTGGTGATGGAGCAGCAGGATAACCTCAGCTGCTGTAGGTAGATATTCTCTCCCAGGACTGTGAATATTCAGGGTTATCACATGCTTTTCCATTTTGAATTAATGAGACTACTAAATTAATGGGCAGAAGAGCAGGTGACCCTGATGCTGCTGGCTCTCAACTGACCATGGACAGTGATTTTCAGAGCTACTTCTAAGCTCCATCTCTTCTCTGTTTGCCCCTGGGCAAAGAGCTATCTTGGGGACCACAGCTGCATGCTAACAGAGATAATTTTTCACTTTAAAATGTGTCTAAAGAAAACATTTGTCTTCAATTAGATGGTCAATGCAAATGTACAATAAATGCTGCAGTGAGCACCTAACTCAAGCCCAGTAAGAACATTTCCAGCTCACAGGCTCTTGGCTTGCTGGGTGAAATAATTCGTACTTCTGTTTCAAGGAAGACTTTCAGGCCCACATTTCTGTGTTAGAGAAGTGATCCATTTTTCTAACGTCACGCTGCTCCTTTTTCAGAATCCTTGTCAGTATGAATATTATTTTCCTTCTCTACCATTTCTTCCCCTGCACTCTCTTGGTGAGTTATTTGTAATACCATCTGCTTCACCTGAAGGAGTAATGAGATGAACAGAGAGAGGCTTGGTGCTGTTATCAACCCTGAACTTTTCCGAACAAAAGCAGGGGCTGTTAGGATGTTATGAACTAAGGGATTTTCAGAACTGTGCCGACAGGGAGCCCAGCTGGTGACACTAACCAGTGCCTCCTCTTTGCCACATGGACATTAAAGTGAATCCCTTTGCTGGGTATACCCTTGCATATGTACTTGTGTGTAATAAATGGTATCAAAGGCTCTGACAGAACTTGCAGGTGTCGGAGGGCATAGGATGTGGGTAGGATTTTGTCTTTCCTTTGTGTACATTGTTTCCCTGTGCTAAGGACTGGAAGGAATCCATGGAGAAAAGATAGGAACCATGTGTTTGGGAAGAAAATAGCAGTGAGGCTTTGGTGACAGTATTTTTATGTCCTAAGGTGTTTAAACAAAAAATACATTGTTTAGGAGAAAACCAAATATTTGTGTACACTGCTGCTGTTAGATTTGGCCTCAGTGGCGACATGTGTATTTTTAAGAGCGAAGGATTTTTTTTTTTACCCGCAGTAACTTAATGTTCCAAGTGAGTTTATAATAGCACTGATTAACTGGTAGCATTTAGTTTGAGTGAAATATCAGCTCTGAAGTCTCTCTGTACTCTTTTTTTTTGCTCCAGACACTTTTATCAGTCTTAGAGGTATTTAACTTATTCTTTTCATAGGAGGTGGTTCATGTTTTAGCAATGTCCCATTGAACAAGCATTAAGGATTTGAAGCTCCATAAGTGAAGTTGAGGTATTCTGGGTAGCCTTAAGAAATCTGTGGAATAGCAAGGAAAAATCTAGAAATGTCCCATTGTTTTGTCTAGAAGCCATTGAAATGGAGTAGGGCTTACCAGCCACCTCAGTAGCATGTAGGCCTTCTGTGTAAGAAAAATAAATGTGCTTATTTATGATAGCACCAATAGCGTAGAACTTTGACCCAACTGTAACACACGTAGCAAAGAAGTGGCATGTTATTAACTATTCTATTATCTACAACAAAGCAAGTTAAAAGGTGAAAGCCAGGGAACTTAAATGACTGAAACTTTTTGCCCTGTATATTTGTAGTAGACAGTTTCCCTTTTAATAGTGGGGGCTGGGAAGTTTCTTGGCATGTGACTAGTTGAGCTTTTGCCTTTATATGGATATTGTGTTAAAGATGAGACCATCTAGGTAAAGCGGATCCCTGAGGGTGTTTGCAGCAGCTCTCAGTAGCATGAGCAGTAAACTAGATAATTGGTGTGTTGGTTCTCATCCAATAATAATTTATTTCCTGGGAGCAACTTCAAAGCTTAATCCTAGAATTAAATCCCCCTATTCCTCCTTGGGATTTTAATTTAGTTTTGAATGCTCTGATGGATCGTCTGCTAGAACATTAAAGACAGCTTTCAGACATAAGGGTGATTTTTCTGGCTGCTGTATGCCCTATATGGAGAATAGGTGAATGCAGGTACTTTCCTGAAGAAACTCTTCTTTAGCTTTTCATCACGATAAGCTGGCAAAAGCCACACTTTATCTTTTACTGAAAGCGGTTTTTCAGTTTCCTTTAAACCATGAAGGCAATCTGCCTAATCCATTTTGCAGCTCTTCCAGTGAAGAGAGTCATCTCTTGAATCTGGAGAGAACCAATAAGATTTTCATCAACCAGAAAGTTGATTTTAGAAAAAAACCAAACCCAGATAATCTGTTTGTCCTGTTAGGGTTGGAACAGGATGGAGGTGACTGCCGGGAGGGTTGTGGTTTCCCATTCAGTCAAGTGTGTCAGGAAACTGTATCTTGTTAAGTGCAGTGAGATGGGACAAAATCTCCAGCCACTGGAATTATCT